TTAATATGATGCAGTGAGTATCAGTGATATTAATATGATGCAGTGAGTATCAGTGATATTAATATGATGCAGTGGGATTCAGTGATAATACCGGGTAGTATGATGCAGTGAGTTTGTGATAATAATATGTGCAATTTCATTTACTAGATTAGATGCTTTAGCCACATATCCAGAAGACTACTATGACGTGAGTGATATAGAATTAATTCAACATATTAATGTGGATTGCATTCGACTTACAAGAATACTTAATGGTAAGAAATAAATCAAGATTTCAAGACAGCATGTTGTTAAAATTATTGTTTATCATCTATAAATTTGTTTTGACTTAGATACTTCAATCCCAACAAGACACAATCATAGTCAGATTTTGAGTGAAAGATTTGCATGAAATAGCCAATCATTGAACTCTACATGTGTTAAACTAATTATTATATGATCACAAGCATACAATTTTATTTTAAATTTGAACACCCATGTCAAATATAGAGGGACTTTTGATATGCAAATGAGTGACTTTAATTTCCAACATTTGAATGCAAAGTTGAGATTGATAGGGAGATAGCAATTCTTTAGATCAGTGTATTTTGGCGCTAGATGTAACTCTTTGAATCCCATTTTCTTTGCAAAACTTATATAGTAGAAACATTTAACATATTCCACACAGATATTTCAATAATGAACCTTTGTCAGCTTTGGAGATTCTTTGGTACTGATAATGTTACTGTTGCAAATTATGTGTAGTTGCCATTCTAACATTAAGGCCATCCACATTTGGTGTATTATTTTGTTCCTCTAGAAACGGTTGTGAAATTGAGAACGTTGAAAGTGCAGAAAACCATGTACACTGCCCTTGCTGAAAGTCTGGAAAAGTCAATCTGGAATTGGATGGGGAATTATCCGGAAGAGTTTACGGAACTGCATGAGAAACCAGTAACAAAACATGAGCTATCTGACTGTGCTGAAAAAATGTTTGATTTAGTGGATATGTTAGCAGAACAACATTCGTCAAAACGGAAGGTTGCCGTGTGGCCATTACAGATAATGTTATTGTTGTTATGTCCTGACCTCCTCAAAGAAATTGCAGCCACATCTGATCCACAAGCACCAGTGTCACCACGAACTCAGCGAATGCAGAAAAAGAAACAGTTTCTGGACAATGTGAAGAAAGCGTTATCACCTCACGGTAGCGGCATGTCTCGACAGTGTGAAAGTGCTGCAATTACGTCTGTACGACTATGTAAGGCAGCTACTTACACCAGTAAACGAGAAAACTCCATGCTGTGTCTACTTGTTAAATCTATTCTGGGTGAGCTTCAGGTAAGTCTGCATGTGAGTGGAGTTTACTTTGTGCCATAATTATCATTCTTATTTTCAGACTACATGTACTGTAAAAGGGTTAATTATTCACTGTGTTTAAATTTTGCTTATTTCGCTGACTGGAAAATGAGCCAAATTAAAACCCAGTGAATATGTAAAATTTAGCATAGAACACATTATCTAAATAATAAAACCGTGAATTTAAAACCCACTGAATATGCCTGAAATGTTAATTTAGTGTAATTTAAACCCAGTAAAAATTAGTAATTTTACAGTATTTGATATAAATTGTTAAAATTGTACTAATCCGACTTAGTGCCCATGCTTGGCTGAAAGCCCACCCCCACTTTATTGAAATTTTTTATTTTCTGGGTCACATTCGGCTAAGCACCCATCCCCTTCAAAATGACACAAATTCTGCTTGATTTTTCCGAATACCAGTAATCTAATTTATATGATATCGACCACCATAAACAGATTGTACTATGACATTGATAGTTTACTTTTGCATAGCGTTACCAGAATGCCCTCGGGAATTCCATGTGATGTGCGTTGGTATAACAGCATTCTGATTGGTTAATAACAGACTTGACCTTTCAGGTCAAAGGATGTTGTTGCAGGTCAAATCGTGCAAGAAAACATCATGGTGGAAAATGCTTTGCATCGAGAGTTTGCATATGATCCAACATATTCAACAATGATGAAGAGTTTGATTATGACTGTGTTCCAACAGATTAATAATAAATTTAACCTTGTAAATTCTGGTAGTACATAGTTAATATTGTATATTGTATTAAAATGTAAATATTTGTTGTGACGATTTCTGTTTCTTCATTCTAAAAGTGTTCTTGGTGAGGCAACTAATTTCACAATTATATTTTTCCCCAAAAGACATAATATTCCCTTCATTCTGTCACCTGGTGAACGAAAATTATCATTTTCAATTTTTTTTCGAGTTGGGTGCTCGGATAAGTGTCCAGCCCCTAAAACATAGCTGAGTACCCTGGGCGCTAAATCGTATGAGTGTGGTATGTATAGCGTTTGATTTTGTGTTAACCAGACCTGCTTTGAAAGAATGCGTGTTCACCCCTTGGGGTTTCAAATTAGTTGTATGCTTAGATAACTTGTGCAGTGGAACTCTACTGTGAATTATGCAATGTATAGTATAAATTGCATAATAATTTGTACATTCAGATTAAGAGAGTGATAATTTAGATCAAATGATAATTCCTAATATCAATTAAAATATTAGTCATTAATCATATCCAATATGTAAATACTATTGTCTTTTTAGTATGTATACAGTAGTTTGGAAATTTGTACCCATTCATGCTAGTCACTATTGTAACCTCAAAGTGGTCTAATTATATATACATCAGATGAAACTGAAATGTTCCAAAAATGACACCAAAACTACATGTATATACAGTACATATCTACACTATGGGGCAGTATGTTTTGCATTGCATCATGGGTTTAATAGTCACCAACTGTTGGTGCTAAGCTACGAATCCTTCAAAATTTTTTATCACTTCAGAAAATGGATATCTTTGTAATGTGAGATCCTCCTTATTGTGCTATGTTTTGTATGAATATATAAACCCTTTTTCATCTAAAATGAAAAAAAAAATAATTTTTAGCTGATTGATTTACAAATATGTGGGCGGTGTACTCAATAAAAGCACCCAGACGTAATGGTGTCAGCTTGCATCATAGTGTCTAAACATGCATTGCAAAGCTGCCCATGTATTGCTATGTCTGTACAAATTATGTCTGCTGTTCTGTTTATTATCTTATCTGTTGATAGGGAGAGGGTATTTAATTTTACATTTTTTTTATCTTTAACCTTTTCACCACCAGACATTCTCACCCAAATTTTTCTGCATTTTTTTTTATAATTCTTCAATATTTCTTGGAAATGAACCCTCATTTTGGAGCGAACAGACAAAATTTGCGTCAGTTTTAGTTTTTACTCAAAAAATATTTTTGTCTCAATCTTCTGCAGGAAAGTGCAAACTATAAACTGGACCATTTTGTGAATTTGTGATGAGAAGGTTAAAAGATTTCAAAATTACAAATAAGCTAAATAAATTATAATTATTATTATTATTATTTATTTTAATCTGCATTTGGTTGTCTTTGAGGAAAATTCTTTGAGTTTGTTCTGTGGTACATACATGTACATGCAAACATTATTTGTGTGAATCTGTCTGATGGTTCATATAGGAGGTAAATACTGTGATAGGAATCTATTTCTTGATATGTTTCTGATCCTGGCAATCCCACACACTGTATGGCAAATTGACAAATTGAATATGAATCAAGTCCAAAAGTAGAATCTTCTGTTTACTTGCAGGCTCTTCTTTTTACCCCATCAAGACCATTTTCAAGAGGAAACAACTTAACTGCTGATGTGGATCTCATGACGGACTGTGCAGTAGCTTTATTTCGTTTTAATCCAAACAACACGCTTCATTTTAGTACTTGTTTATCTCTGAATTCACCGGCACAGTTTCATTTGGTGCTTGTCCATGCTTTCCACCAGATTATAACAAAGGTTAGTGGATTCAACTTGACTGTTGAAGCAGCCACAATTAAAGTACATGTATATTATTTATAATTTCATAATTTAATTACAGTTCTGAATCTTCCTAATGAAATCCTCTCTGTTTCTTTTTGCAGTCAACATTACCGTGGTGGCCAAAAATCAACTTAATATACGATAGAATTTCTTCGGACCTTAGGAATTTATTTTCTGACACGATTAATAGAGTGAGCCAATCAAGTAGTCAGATGCCTTTAAGGCAGTCACAGTCATTGAAAGATAAAGTTGGTCTGAAGTTTAAAGACAAGACACCGGAAGACACGCCCAGCTACCGTTATCTTCTGTTGTATATTGTCAAGCTTGTACATGCTGATCCGATGCTTATGTTATATGTGAGTTTAAAAGTACATGTTTGACAAAGATGTAATTTGCATCATCAGAATTGTGTCTTGAAGTGTTCAATTTGATTTGGGATAAGGTTTTAAACTGATAAAAAAAACTTGGTGGTAGTGGCAATAGAACAAGACAATAATTTGTAGACTGAATAGTTTTGAAGACATGGGAAAAAAATCGCAAGACTTTTGGCAAATATGACAGTCATTGTTACCTATTGCTTTAAAATCCACTCGCAAAACTCTCAAATTTCACTTGTTCTGCTGTTTTCTCTATTTCAATATTTTCTAACCACACTGCGAGCTTTTCATGTACAAGGCTGTTTTTGGAAGTACTGTTGGGAATTTTTAAATTTTGTCTTTCTTCTATATATATTGATAAGTGATTTTGTTTTCTCTGCAGTCTAATTGACTTCCCGCAGCCATCTTTGTTGGATTGTAGAAAAGTTTTGAGTTTGCACAACGAAGTCACAAACCTAGTTTGCATATTTAGTCATTGATAGTGGTGATTACGTATTATGGCGCTTGTTTTAAGCCTGCCTAACAAGGGGATTAAAATTAAGGCCAGTTCTTCTCCAGGTATTACTTAATTGAGATTGGCTAAATACTTGGGTTCTTGTTTATACACAAAATTTAGTCAAACCCAAAATGTAGGTAAGCCTAATGCCTGCCTTATTTTCTAATGTGGAACCTTCATGTGAACTAATTTATTTTTTGTTGACTGCCATGTACGAAGCACACAATAAGAGTCTTTGCATTCAGTGTGCGTGTCTGTCCCTGTCCGTTCCACTGATATCTCAAGAAGCTTATGTTGGCTTTTGATTAAACTCCGGTTTTCAGTTGATTGAAATCATAGGACATAGGACAATGTCATAGGACAATGCACAGACCTGATAGGTTTTAGGTTACTGTGAAATACTTTATTTTAGCTGCAATTAATTTTTGCTAAAAAGACTTTTTGGGTGCTTTTTTATAATCACTGATTTTTGATGAGTTGAATGTGAAATATAAAAAAAAAAGTATATTCGCTGGATTTTATTTTCACTGAACCATCCTTCCAGTGAAAATATATTCCAAGTGAAAATAAAGTAGTCTACAGTAATACAAAATGTATATGTGCATATTAATTACCTAATTTGCATAATTAG